GCCATTGATTGAGGTTCTGGGTTTGAGCCTGCCACTTTTGGACTCTCGCTTGCTGGGGTGTTCCAGCGAGTGTCTCTGTAGATCTTAGAAAACTATTTCTTGATTTAAGTCGTTGACGTGCTGGCTGATGCCCAAACAAGGGATGGAGCTGGAGATGTCTCTGCCTTGGTCCTTTCACTATTGGCTGCTACTTCCCAGCGGATGTCAGGTGGTGCAATACCGGCTAAGCAGTGTAATTTCTCCAGTGGTGTAGGGCGCAGACACCCCGTGATAATGCGGCATGTCTCATTAAGAGCCACATCCACTGTTTTAGTGTGGTGAGATGTGTTCCACACTGGGCATGCGTACTCAGCAGCAGAGTAGCATAGCGCAAGGGCAGATGTCTTCACTGTGTCTGGTTGTGATCCCCAGGTTGTGCCAGTCAGCTTTCGTATGATATTGTTTCTAGCACCCACTTTTTGCTTGATATTCAGGCAGTGCTTCTTGTAGGTCAGAGCACGGTCCAGAGTGACTCCCAGGTATTTGGGTGCGCTGCAATGCTCCAGTGGGATTCCTTCCCAGGTCATCTCAGAGCTCGGGATGCTTGTCTGTTGTTAAGGTGAAAGGCACATGTCTGTGTTTTAGATGGATTAGGGATCAGCTGGTTTTCCCTGTAATAGCAGTAAGAGCACCTAGAGCTTCGGAGAGCTTCTGTTCTACCATCTCAAAGCTCCCTGCTTGAGCGGTGATGGCACGATCATCAGCATAGATGAAACTCTCTGTCCCTTCTGGCAGTGGCTGGTCATTTGTGTAGATGTTGAACATGGATGGGGCAAGCATGCTCCCCTGAGGCAGGCCGTTCTTCTGTTTCCGCCATCTGCTTCTCTGGCCCTGGAACTCAACAAAAAAGCTCCTGTTTTGTAGCAGGTTTCCTATGAGGCGGGTGAGGTGGTCGTCCTTTGTGATATTACACATTTTTCTCAGGAGGAGGCGGTGGTTCACAGTATCATAGGCTGCTGACAGGTCTATGAAGACAGCTCCTGTGATCTGCTGCCTTTCAAAGCCATCTTCTATGTGCTGAGTCAGGTTCAGCACTTGCGATGTGCAGCTTTTGCCTTTCCTGAAGCCAGCTTGCTGTGGAATCATTTGTGGTAAAATTAGGCACCTTGGCTTATATTTGGGTCGGCTTATACTCGGGTATATACGGTATATAGAGTCATGCCCCTTGCATGTAGGAAGATCTAATTTGATATTTCTATGATGCAGAAGGGACGTGGTGGTGATGTTAACGTATGTAGAAGCATGTTTCTTTGTTTGCCTGCATTTGAAGATGTATAAAAGGGAAAGTCAACGCCTTGATCCTCACTGGTTGGCTTTTGGACGTGATTCCACGCCAAGGTCTCAGCTGAAAATAAACGCACCTTTTCTGCCTCACACAAAAGATCGCTCTTGGTATTATCTCTCCTATCAGCCATAGCATTTCTACGATAATCAGAGCTTGGTTAGCTTTGAGAAAGAGGTTTTTTAAATGCAACTGAAATGCTCGCTAAATACTTTTTGGGAGTTTGGAACCGTCAGGGCAACCAATTAATGTGGAAGGGAGTTTTTCCGGCCCTCATTAAAACGGAGCTCTGGCTTAGAGGCCATTCCCGAGTCCCATTTTCCCCAAAGCACTGGGAAATTGCCTGTTTGTTTGCCTGCAGTAATTGGGATCTTTAACAAGCCTCCAAGGGCTTCTCTTTGCCTCCTGGGCCCACGCTCGTAATCGGCCCGTTTAGCTTCAGCGCCAACGCATCCCTCGGGCAGGAGGCTTCTCGGCCACAGTTGCCAACTTTTGCTCTGGGAATTGTGGGCTTAAATGTATTGTCGAAGGCTTTCATGGCCGGAAGCACTGGGTTGTTGTAGTTTTTTGAAGTTGTATTGGCATGTCCTAGAAGCATTCTCTCCTGAAGTTTCACCTGCATCTGTGGCAAGCATCCTCAGAGGATTGTAGCACCGGGATTGTGGCACAGCTGGCTAAGTGTCAACTGCATTAAGATCACTCATGAGTTCGAAGCCAGCCCGGGTTGGAGTGGGTTTCCAACCAATTGTGTGTAGCCTGTTGTCGACCTTTGCAACCCGAAAGACAGTTGCATCTGTCAAGTAGGAAAATAAGGTACCACCTTAAAGTGTGGGGAGGCTAAATTAACTGATTTATGAGGCCATAAAGAAGACTCCAGCAAAGCATTCCAGCGGGGAAGCATGCGGGGAATGCGGAAGTGCTTCATCAGTGTCGCAGATGGACGATGAAAGCAACAGCTCCCCTGGTGGCCAGAAAAAGTTAAATAGCCTCTGTGTATGTCTGTATATGTTTGTATGTCAAAAATTGGCATTGAATGTTTGCCATATATGTGTACACTGTAATCCGCCCTGAGTCCCCTGCGGGGTGAGAAGGGTGGAATATAAAAGCTGTAAATAAATAAATAGATAGATAGATAGATAGATAGATAGATAGATAGATAGATAGATAGATAGATAGATCATAAATGAATGTTTGCCTATCTGTGTATGTGGCAATCCGCTCTGAGTCCCCTCAGGGAGATAGAGTGGAATATAAATAAAGTGTTGTTGTTGTTGTTGTTGTTGTTGTTGTTGTTGTTGTTGCGCAGAAGCAGATTTTAGCCAGATCCAATGCAATAGACACTCAGGCAAGAGGGGAAAAAAGGAACAGAAAAAAAACCTTACTCTTAACAGCAGAGGCAAAACATAAACTTGCAGTGTTGTATACAAAATCAAACAGTGCAACAAACTTACATAGTCCTTGTAAGTAACACGGAATAAGGCTTCTTCATCTTCATTCAAATGAGAGAGCAAAACATAAACCTTGAGTAAATAGCTATTCCATCTTAGCAAAGAGCATCGCTGTTTGAGCATAGCAGCATTACAGCATATTGCTTCTCCAAACTGTATTCTAAAATCCATACAGTTATACCCCACCAGATGTGGGCCAGACATGCTAGCTGCACATAATAATTAACATCATAAGGGGTTTTTTTAACACACATTTGATCCTGCTACGACTTACTGTAACAGTTGTTGTTGTGGCAACACAACTCCAGGGATTTCTGGTAGACACTGATTATCTAGATCCGGCACAGTCTGGCTTTAGGCCGGGACATGGAACTGAGACAGCCTTGGTCGCCTTGATAGATGATCTTCGCCGGGAGCTAGACAGGGGGAGTGTGTCCCTGTTAGTTCTGCTGGACCTCTCAGCGGCCTTCGATACCGTTGACCATGGTATCCTTATGGGACGCCTCGAGGATATGGGACTTGGGGGTACTGCACTGCAGTGGCTCCGGTCCTTCCTCGAGGGACGGTCCCAGAAGGTGTTACTGGGTGACACCTGTTCAGCTCCACAACCGTTGTTGTGTGGGGTCCCACAGGGATCAATTCTGTCCCCGATGTTGTTTAACATCTACATGAAGCCGCTGGGGGAGATCATTCGGAGTTTCGGACTAAGATGTTATCTCTACACAGATGATGTCCAAATCTGTCACTCCTTCTCACCTGTCACCAAGGAGGCTGTCCAGACCTTGAACCGGTGTTTGGCCGCTGTATCGGACTGGATGAGAGCTAACAAATTGAAATTGAATCCAGACAAGACAGAGGTCCTACTGGTCAGTCGTAAGGCCGAACAGGGCATAGGGTTACAGCCTGTGTTAGACGGGGTTACACTCCCCCTGAAGACGCAGGTTCGCAGCTTGGGAGTGATCCTGGACTCATCGCTGAGCCTGGAACCCCAGGTCTCGGTGGTGGCCGGGAGAGCTTTTGCACAATTAAAACTTGTGCACCAGCTGCGCCCGTACCTTGGGAAGTCAGATCTGGCCACGGTGGTCCACGCTCTTGTTACATCCCGAATAGATTACTGCAACGCGCTCTACGTGGGGTTGCCTTTGAAGACTGTTCGGAAACTTCAATTAGTCCAACGGGCGGCAGCCAGATTACTCACCGGAGCGCCATACAGGGAGCATACCACCCCTCTGTTGTGTCAGCTCCACTGGCTGCCGATCCAGTTCCGGGCACAATTCAAAGTGCTGGTTTTGACCTACAAAACCCTTTACGGCTCCAGCCCAGCGTACCTGTCCGAACGTATCTCCTTCTATGTCCCACCTCGGAGTTCAAGATCTTCTGGGGAGGCCCTGCTCTCGGCCCCACCTTTATCACAAGCGAGACTGGTGGGGACGAGAGACAGGGCCTTCTCGGTGGTGGCCCCTCGCCTGTGGAATTCACTCCCCGGGAAATTAGGACATCAACATCCCTCCTCTCCTTCAGGAAGAAGCTAAAAACCTGGATGTGGGACCAAGCGTTCGGGTAAGCTGGCAGATGGACAAAGACAACCAATAATGACCAGAGTAGGAAAGGACAATGACAATGCTAAATGGTTTATGGACTTGGATTGGTGAACACTGACCACAAAATGTTTATTGCTGCTAGTATACTGTCTGATGGTTTTAATCAGTTATAACTGTGATATTATGTGGTAAATTTGTGTATTATATAGTGTATTGTATGTTGTAATTGTTAGGCATCGAATTGTGCCTTTTGTAAGCCGCCCTGAGTCCCCCCTAGGGGGTTGAGAAGGGCGGGGTAAAAGCACCCCAAATAAATAAATAAATATTGTATTAATGTGTGCTTTTCCATCTGCATTCTCGGCGTCTCTCTCTTATTTATTTCATTTGACTTTGCATGTTTGGATAACTGGAACCTTTCCTACTACCGAGTTGTTTGGTCTCTCTTCTTAATCCAGCCTCAGGAAAGCTGGGATGTGAACCAAACAGTGGAAACTGTGGTTGGACATATTTGATTGTGCTCCGGCTTTTTGTCCAAACTTTGAAGGCAATTAAAGGGGGGTTTAAGAAGCTGAGGGGGGAAAGGAAGGAGCTTGAGGCTGTTGGGAATTGTGGGAGTTGGAGTTTGCCTGCTTTAAATGGCGCACACTGTCCTCACCTTTAATACTTTTCTTTCTTTCTCCTCTCTTCCAGCTGCCTTGGGGACATTAGATTTCAGCTTGCTATACGATCAAGAAAACAATGCGCTGCACTGCACTATTAATAAAGCCAAGGTAGGCACCAACTCATTTGCCCTCTCTTTCCTGCTTGTGTGTGTTTTCCCGACATCAACAAAATCTGGAGTTATGAAAGTTTGAAATAAGATAGAATGGGATTAGAAACGCAACATAGCTGCAACCTGAAGGACACGTTTGTGCCCTGAACCTTTTGTTTTTCGTGTCAGAAGTGACTTGAGAAACTGCAAGTCGCTTCTGGTGTGAGAGAATTGGCCATCCGCAAGGATGTTGCCCAGGGGATGCCTGGATGTGTTGCCATCCTGTGGGAAGCTTCTTTCATGCCCCCGTGTGGTAAGCTGGAGCTGACAGACAGGAGCTCACCCTGTCATGTGGATTTGAACTGCTGACTTTCAGGTCAGCAGTTCAGTCAGCACAAGGGTTTAACCCATTGCGACACTGCAGCTCCAACCAAGGAGAATGGGGCTTCTTTCATGTCCCCACGTGGGAACCTGGAGCTGACAGACAGGAGCTCACCCCGTCATGTGGATTCGAATTGCTGACTTTCAGGTCAGCAGTTCAGTCGGCACGAGGGTTTAACCCATTGCAACACTGCAGCTCCAACCAAGGAGAATGGGTCTTCTTTCATGTCCCCATGTGGGAAGCTGGAGCTGACAGACAGGAGCTCACCCCATCTTGTGAATTCGAACTGCTCTCTTTCAGGTCAACAGTTCAGCCTGCACAAGGGTTTAACCCATTGCATTATCGCAGTTCCTACCAAGGTGAATGGGGCTTCTTTCATGTCCCCACGTGGGAAGCTGGAGCTGACAGACAGGAGCTCGCTCCATCTTGAGGATTCAAACTGCTCACTTTCAGATCAACAGTTCAGCTGGCACAAGGATTAAACCCATTGTATCACCGCAGCTCTTACCAAGGTGAATGGGGCTTCTTTCATGTCCCCACATGGGAAGCTGGAGCTGACAGACAGAAGCTCACCCCATCCTATGGATTCGAACTGCTCTCTTTCAGGACAACAGATCAGTCGGCACAAGAGTCTAACCCATTGCATCTCCGCAGCTCTTACCAAGGTGAATGGGGCTTCTTTCATGTCCCTGCGTGGGAAGCTGGAGCTGACAGATGGGAGCTCACCCCATCCTATGGATTCGAACTGCTCTCTTTCAGGACAACAGTTCAGCCGGCACAAGGGTTTAACCCATTGTATCACCGCAGCTCCTACCTTTGGCCGAAGTCTCCCCAAGATCAATTCATTCAATGTCACAAACGCATCGGACTGGGAAAACTGCTGGATCCCTCCCCTCTCTTCTCTCTCAATTGGCATCTTCCCGTCGCTTTTTTTGGGCCACCAGCAAAATAAAACTGGGATGTAGGAAGTTGTTGAAGTGCTGAGCATGTGGTGGTATTCAGGGAGAAGCCGGTGGGCGGATGGGTACCTGGTTGCTGTCCAATCCACAGGCCCAACGTTGCACTTACACAGCCAAAAAAATGGCAGGAGCGCTGATGACTGGAGAGACACGGCATGAGTAATTCTCTCCCCGCTCCGCATTCTTTCTTGAGTTGCCATCTCATTTTAACTTGAGTTCCTCTTGCTTCTTCTCCCTTTCAAGAGTGTTTCCCTCCCATACATGCGCTCTTCAATTTGGGTTGGCCTGTAGCACAGCAGGTTAACCACCAGCTGCAGTAAATCTTGCCAATTGAAAGGCTGACAGTTCAAAGCCCAGGTCAGGGTGAGCTCCTAGCAGGGGCGGCTCAACACATTACGCAAAGTAAGTATTTGCAGTATAGTTGATTTTGCCCAGAGGCTGGATGGCCATCTGTCGGGGGTGCTTTGAATGCAATTTTCCTGCTTCTTGGCAGGGGATTGGACTGGATGGCCCATGAGGTCTCTTCCAACTCCAGGATTCTATGATCTACATTCGTATCATTTTTTTAATGCCTTTAATATCCCAAATTTGGAAAAACTTGGCACAGTCCACCTGAAAAGCGATGGTCATGAATAGTTATGCTGTTATTAACATTATTAATATTATTATATTATTAATATTAATATTATTATGTTGTTGTTGTTCATTCGTTCAGTCGTCTCCGACTCTTCGTGACCTCATGGACCAGTCTACGCCAGAGCTCCCTGTTGGCCGTCACCACCCCCAGCTCCTTCAAGGTCAGTCCAGTCACTTGAAGGACTTCATGGATGCCATCCATCCATCTTGCCCTTGGTCGGCCCCTCTTCCTTTTGCCTTCCACTTTCCCCAGCATAATTGTCTTCTCTAGGCTTTGCTGTCTCCTCATGATGTGGCCAAAGTATTATTATTATATTATTATTTTATTATTATATTATATTATTATATTATAATAATAATATTATATTATATTATTAGTATATTATATTATATTAATAATATATTAATAATTATTATATTATTATTATATTATATTATATATATTATATATATTATATAATAATATAATATTATTATTAATATAATATAATATTATTATTAATATTATCATATTATTATTAATCCTTGATTCCTTCCATTCCTTTTTAGGGATTGATTTTTTTAAGGGTCAGAATTGGGATAATTATTAGGATAATTATTGGGATTATTGAGTTACTGTAAGTTTTCCGGGCTGTCTGGCCGTGTTCCAGAAGCATTCTCTCCTGACATTTCACCCACATCTATGGCAGGCATCCTCAGAGGTTGTGAGTTCTGATGGAAATTAGGCAAGGGAGGTTTATATATCTGTGGAATAATGTCCAGGATGGGAGAAAGAACTCTTGTCTGTTGGAGGCAAGTGTGAACGTTGCCATTGGCTGGCTCGGTTAGCATATATATAAACAAGTGAGGTTTATATATCTCTGGAATAATGTCTAGGGTGGGAGAAAGAACTCTTGTCTGTTGGAGGCAAGTGTGAACGTTGCCATTGGCTGGCTTGGTTAGCATTTAATGGCCTTGCAGCTTCAAAGCCTGGCTGCAACCAGACAAAAGTTCTTTCTCCCACCCTGGTCATTATTCCACAGATATGTAAACAAGTGAGGCAAGGGAGGTTTATATATCTGTGGAATAATGTCCAGGGTGGGAGAAAGAACTCTTGTCTGTTGGAGGCAAGTGTGAACATTGGTTAGCATTGAATGGCCTTGCAGCTTCAAAGCCTGGCTGCAAGCAGACAAGAGTTCTTTCTCCCACCCTGGGCATTATTCCACAGATATATAAACCTCACTTTCTTAGTTTCCAACAGATCCCTCAACCTCTTAGGATACCTGCCATAGATGTGGGTGAAACGTCAGGAGAGAATGCTTCTGGAACATGGCCAGACAGCCCAGAAAACTCGCAGCAACCCAATATAGCACGAGTTATAGATCAGCAAGAATTACCCGCAGCCGTTCGCGCATTCGCCCTAATGCAATGATTATTTACTTGATGCCTTTGACCAGCTTGTCAGCTTATAAACAGCTCCCTTCAACACTGCTAATCACATACCCGAGAACGGCTTCCTTGGGCAGCTGCATAATTGGCAGCAATTGATGCTTTGGGAAAAAAATATTAAATGCTCTTTTTATTTTTTGTAGAAGGGGAAAAATATGCTTTTTCAGAAAGGAAGGCTGTGTGGGAGTTGAAATTTTGCTTAACAAGCCTCACCGGGGGAGAACATCCAATCCTTCAGAGGAATTTACAGGGATAAGGAGAATATGATCAGTGGGAAAGGTGGGAGGAAGATGAGGAAGCAATGGGTAGAAGAGGGACAGGTTGCCTATTCTAATAACAGTATTGAGGGAGAGAGGAAAAGGTAGACTACAGGTTGGGTGCTTCGCTCTCTCTTATATTAATCTATCTATCTATATAATAAAAGTCAGTGTTTGTATGCGGAGGGAGGACGCAAGTGTATGTGCAGGGACGGCTCATCCATTACGCGAAGTAAGCGGTCGCAGAACATTTTTTTTTGCCAGGGGCGCAGAGGCGCCTCTGTAAATGCCCCTCGACCGCCACTTGAGGAGCGCCCCCTCAGCTCACAACAGCCCTAGCAGTCCGGGGGGAGCCTCGGCTTTCTTGCCTCGCTGCCGGGCGATCCTCTTCCCAAAGGGGCCGGGCCCTTGAGCCTCGCCTAGCCCCTCTCGTTCCTGCTCCACCTGGCCACCGGGTGCACGAGCAGAGCCGGCGCTCAATCGTTCTCCGCGTTCGATCCCTTCCCCATGACCGGCTCCCTTTCCCGATCCCCTGGCGCTCCACCTGCCTCCTCTCCTCTCCCCAATCCGCGGGTGGGGACGGAGCCGCCGCACCTGGCCCGCTTCGGGTCCGGAGGCGTGTCTGAAGACCCCAGCGTGCGCACCAAAAGTCGCCTCTTCTCCTGACTTTCTCTTCAGCCATTGGGACCAAGAGAGAGAGAGAGAGAGAGCCCCTCCGGCTGGAGGTATCTCCCACCTCCGCTCCCTCCTTTGTTTTTGTGCCTACCTTCAGGAAAGGTGGGCATCTCCCTCCTCTCTCTCTCTCTCTCTCTCTCTCTTGGTCCCAATGGCTGAGGAGAAAGTCAGGAGAAAAGGTGACTTTTGGTGCACACGCCGGGGTCTTCAGGCACGCCTCCGGACCCAAAGCGGGCCAGGCAAGGGAGCAAGTGCGGCAAGTAAGCAAACAATGCACAAATATCTATAGTAACATAGAAACAAGAATGTATGTATGTGTATTTTATAAGACTCTCAAGAAAATAATATAAATCAGGATAATATGTTCTCTAATGGAGTAAATTGTCTAGACTTTATAGCATTTATAGTATTTAACAGTAATGTTATCAGCACATTATAAGTAAATGTAGGTTATCTTATCAACATAGAGCAATGAATAGTAGACTAGAGATAATAAAGTCCATCCTTTCCTGGAGTCAGATTTCAGTGCAGGAATTCAACAGTCTCTGTCTTTATCCTCAAAAGAATTCTTCTTTTAGCAACACAGTCTTTAAGGAGTACTTCTTATGCAGCAGAGTCTTCCTTAGGTAACACAATTTCACAATTTCTACAAGGTCTCCCGGTATGTTCTCCTTGTTTCGAA